GTTTTACGATGACGTACTCTACCCTCTCTATACCTGAAGCATCCATCTTTTTACCAAGAAATAAACAATAAGCCACATCTTGCGCCTAATATTAAATTGAAATTTATTTTATCAGTAAAGAACAGTCTTATGAGCTAAAGACTTATCATCTTGACCAATCATATTTCATGCTAATATTAAAGCTTTTAAAAGTACAGGTCTGCTGGTTTTAATATTATTTTATTTTTCATACGTAACGCTTATTTTGATGGTTTATGTAAAATCTTCATTTAGAATTATATCAAGTTTGTCTGTTTTGAATTTCGCGCAAAGCTACACGAGAGCTATCTGCGCTAGCTGTCCCTAATTGAGCAGTGAAAGACTAGAGAGAAGGCAGCTAGTCATCACCACCAACCGCTATCTCTTAGGCTACTCTTTTACCAACGAACAGTGAGATTGACCGTCACATTATAACGCTCCCACGACTAAAAGGGCGAGCATGTTTGGTGGGACGGGGATTCGAACCCGCTACCCTCAGGGTGCGAGTCTAGAATTCTATTAAAATCCATTACACAATAATTTACCTCTAGTACCATATAGAAATTTGATTTTTCATACCATTACAGTATACTAAAATAATACAAAATTTAAGATTATTTATTTCGCCTTATTTGCCACCTACAATGAGAAATTTCATTAATGTTTTAAATGATTCGGATAAGTCTTCTATTCTGCAGCGTTTATTACAAATTTAAAGAAATGGTTAGAACATGTTTGCTAAACATCAGTGGCTAACTTAACACTCAGATCATGATATTACCTATATTTTAAAGCAGTTTTGACCTAAGAATATTTTGCATTTTATTACAACTTTAGTGGCTCATCCTAAGGGAACGTATAGTAAAATATGCATTTGCTTTAGATGTAAATGATCATATACCAGTCAGGCGGTGGAACCAGCTTACTCTTAAAGGAAGTTACATACAAGTTCACATCTAAAAAGTTCTGCATATAATTAAGCTACCCTCCCCCACACACACAACAACAGGAGGAGGTTTGAGCTGATTTCAATAGTTAGTACTGGCAAATGACCCTAAAGATCGACTGATTCAAAGTGAAAATATAAAAAGGCGAGAATACCATACTGTGCAAATCACTAAGGCCAGAACAAGACAAAAAACAGTAGAACATGATTAGACCACAACTCGGCAGTTGCACAATCAAAAACTTCACAATGTGAACTAGTTGCACCATTAATTTTCCCGCGAATCATAAAGTAGATATCCACAAAATGTATGCTTCATGGCGACCAATCCTAGCTATCTCACAATCACATCGTTTACATTCCTTTGAGAGATTCTTCCCGAAAAAGGGGTAAAGATGAATAGGGAATTAGATTGTCAGGTCTTTTAAGCGTGATCGGTCAAGATTTAGAAAGAACATCTTTAATGAATCTCTGTTAAATCTCAACAGTACCGAGCAGTTTTCTACATTATTCGTAATACAGCTGACTAGCTTGACCTTTTTCAGTAGTTTCATTTTGATTCTGTGACATTAATCTATTTGAAATCGGTTCTTTTAAAGGGTTAAATAATAATTAGTTAATCGATAAAGTGTTTCTCTTCTCTATTAGATTTCACTTAAATGTTTCAGCCACCGAAACCTCGAAAAGTCTCTGTCGTTGTTTGGGGAGGGGTTGACCCATCCACTGTTATTCTTAAACCAAGAATACCATAAGAAGATTCTTCTATTTACTGTGTATTTTCACTAACTTTCACAAGTCTTGATATTGGAGATTGATCACCAACGCATATATATAACTAAACTTTTCAGGAATTTCAATGGTACCTATATGTTATACTTTTTTTTGTAGGGCCAAACAAAAGGAGTGATTTTGAAAAGATTTTTAGCAATTTTAAACCACTTCACCCCATTATCAAATTTAAATTGAAGAAAGACGACAAACTTTGCTATTTTGATAACAAGAGAAATATACAAAGAATCAGTCCTTTCTGTATACCTTAAACTGATAAATACTTTACGTTATGCTCACTTTTTTTTTTCATACCACCATAAACAGGTCAAAATATCAAACGTTTCTTCGTTTTTCTTTCAGCCTATAGAATTGCTACCGATAACACTTGAACATGAAATTAAAATTACATCTTCAAATAATTATTTTCACCACAACGTTTCATTACAAATTTTCACATTGGAGCAAGAAAAGTCTTTTCCAAGAAGACAGAAAAAGACCAGCCAACGAAAGTATGAAGCCATTTTATATTGGCTACCAGCTATCAAAAGTATGAAGCCATTTTATATTGGCTACAACACTAATATTGATCACTTACGAGAAAATATTAAAGGAACAGCTTTAGGATCATATGTAAATATTCGAACACAATTAAAAATAGCCTAAATATAACACCAAAAGATAGGGAGGCGTTTGCATTATACCACGCAAATCCTGTGAGAAAGGTTATATACGTGAAACTGAAAGAAGTCTTGAAACGAGTTTCTGCCCCTAAAAATAATTATAAAATATGGAAACTTAAACAGTGCCATTCTTTTCCGGATTGGAGATTTTGGCCATCAAACTGATTTCCAATACGGATAACTACATCAAAAACACCTCTAAAACCTATCTTAAGCTAAACAAATCCCTGACCTCCTGCATCTTTAAAAGAAATCGTAGTTCCGAGGTAAGGTAGACGTTGTTAGTTAGTTTTCTTACCAGTCGAAAATAATTTCTCCAGTATAGACTTCTGACAGTTTGTTCCGCTTAATTTTTTGTTATTTATACTACACTCGCATCTATTAAGTGATGCACTTGCTAATCCAAATTGCTTATGGGCTTAACGTTTATATTCTTTAAATTTTCATACAACATTCAAATTTGGTATAAATGGGTTTTTATTAATTCAAAATATTGAAGTATTCATGGTGAAGATAGAGCAGATGAAGTTATAACCTAAAGAGAGACATTCCAGGATGTTTGAAATATCACGTGTATTTATCATTGTTATTAGGTAAAAACCTACACATACACTGTCATGTGCTCTGCCCAAAGTGGTTCAGCGGAAAGTCTGAAGGCTTATAACTAAAATACAAAGTATCGATACTAGTGGTGGGCACAGCACAGATAATCCATTGTGTCGCTTTGTGCTTAACAAACAAGTCCATCATGGGTATCGAAACTAAGTTAAGCGTTATAAGTCCATAGATGTAACGCTGAACCAGAGGGGGACGCACGTCTTATTTTAAATTTAATTAATTATATATAAAACCTTTGAAAACTTCATTCTATTTTATCCAAGAAAACAATACAACTTGCGAGTATTTCTGTCAACGAGTGCTTATTGGGCGGATTTAAGTTTTCCTTAGTTTGCTTGTTTTCGTCCTGTTCATTTGTTCAGAAGCGAAACGTAAACACTTCTTTCCTGTATAATTATCCGTCAGTTTTACTTAATATATTACTTTCGATAAGGTTTGCGAGTTGTTCCGGAATGATAGATATATATAAACATCAAATGCTTTATTTGCATTTCGTAATAAAACCTTTAGGGTACATAATACGGGAACTGCAGACAAATTATTATTAAGTATTTGTTCAAGAAGAGCAATTTTACATTTTTTCAGTTCAAATACGGTCTAATGATACATGCACTTGTTGTTGTTGTTGTTGTTTTGTTTTTTACGTGGGAGAACACATTTTGAGATCAATGTTTTTGGTGAAAGCACATACACGATCATTACTAAGAATACTGTTCGTTAATTTTTCGCGCAAAACTACTAGAGTGCTAACTGCGTTACAAGAGTCCCCAATTCTGAAGTGAAAGACCAGAGAGAATGCAGCTGTCAACATCATAGTAAGTGGTTTTATGTTTAAAATGATATAATGCTTACGCTGCCGAGGCGCGAGGTTACTGATACGTGCTGCCTATCCAGCCAAACTGGCGAACTCTGGTAACGTACTACGTGGGCACCAGCATTCGACACACAGTTTGTTGTTGAAATTGTATATTTGTCTTCCCATGACGTTGTATAGGGGGTTAGTAAAGAAATTTGTTATGATTATCTTCTTGTCATGCATCACACAAGCTACCGTAATAAAGACACGGTAACGTTTGGCTCATGTTTCAACCTTTATTTAAAACTAGATTCATTCTCGCATCATTATTTTAGTCAAAAATTAAGCCCAAACTGTTTTTCCACATTAAAACAAAAAAAGTTAAATTCAGATTACTTTTAGTGGTTTGCTTTGTAGATTATATAGCTCAATCATTAACTTTCTGTAAAAGTTTACAGAAAAATGAATGCCAAGACAATAATTAAGAATTTTAGTAACTTTATTTGTTACTTTCTTTTTTACGCAGATAACACACTCACTTTAAAATCAAATTCACACGTTTTATAGAAAATACTCGAATATTTACATAACTAGCGACTATTAACAACAAAATAAAACCGATAGAAAATTTTCGCCACAGGCCTTACCAGTCTTAATTTGTCTTATTTTAATATAATGGACTTAAAAGCCTTACTTATTGCCAGTAAAGTCGATAATTAAACTCTTACTTTGTAATAATCAAGATTAAAAGGAAATAAGGGAAGTAAAATATTTAACTATTACACAACTTTCACTGCCATGAGTTTTTATTAGTGTGATTAGCGGAAAGTTACTCAAATGCTTCCATTATTAAACAATAAAGAATGTTATTTTTCCTGTGGACGATTTCTAAAACAACCAAATTATTCTTATGTAGAAATACACAAGTTCTGTTCATTTAAGGCAAGTATTTACATATAAAAGTTTAAAGCCAAATTCTAGCCCTAATATCCGTTGATAAAATTAATATTTCCACCATCTCTTCTTGCAATGTTAACAAATTGGACTAGTTCATGAAGAGTATTACATTTTCAAGTGTTTAATAACCAAATATTTATTGTTTTCTCATTGGTAAGACTTTAAAACCCGAATTAGTGTTTTAGATTGTATGATAAACGGTTGTTTGGTTTCTTCTTACTTGCTAGTAAAGTTACTCCGTTTTTCGTAAACCTAATGTTAAAATTAATGCAGACAGTTGTGAAATGTGTTATCACAATGTTATACATGACAATGTTGAATAAATATACATATACCAATAAAACAAAATATACCAAAAAAAAAAAATATTTAAAAACATCGACAATTTATTTCTCACACACATATTCACAGTTGATAAAGATTTCGCAGCTAGGTGGTACGCTTGTATATACGTGTAAAACGAGTCCTTCAAAGTATTTGCATGTTCCCGATAAAATGGATAGCTCTTACGTACTGATTGGCTCTTCACGCATTACATGTTGTGACATCTTCTCTTCCTCACATACCAAAAAAGGTATTACGTGACGTATGCATTACGTCACCACATATCTGCTGCTTGGACATCAACTTTTACCTTCGCTGAACGAGATATAGTGATATTTTCTGGAACATTGGAAGTTATACTAAAGAAAAAAAAAGGTAATATTTATTCAATATTGAGAAAAAAGATATTAGGACTTACTTGCCATTTTCTGAAACATAATATGAACGTAGAATATGATATGTACAGACGAAAATCAACTAGCTTTCGTGTTTTTTTTTGTTGTTTTTTTTAGGGTTCATTATTAATTATTAGTGGTTAAATGATAAATCAAATTTATTTATAAAATAATTTCCATACTTTATTTTTATTGTTACACAACCAAAAAATGATATATTTGGTAATACCGTAGAACTAAGTACATGTCACAATTAAGATTTAAACAACTTAGGCAAATTTAAAATAAAATAATTTAAAACTACAGCAGCTGCAAAATTCAAAAACAACCTAACTTGGGCAAGAGAGTGCCGGCCTAAGTCTCCCATTTATCAAGCATCTATAACTTCCATATTTTGTTCCTTATCCAATATTTTATCATTTTCACAGTCGATAGAATGATCTAATATAATACGTTTTCAAATATGGTGAATTCTGTTCTTGTTTGTTTGTTTGTTTTAACTTACGTTTATTTTCCCAAACTGTCTAATTTCTCTTATATTTAATGTCAGTCTGTTTCCACTCTTATTTAACAAACCTAACCACACTTTTCAATAGGATATTTTGTGCTTTGGATATACCATCACCTGCTAAATAGACTAGCATGGTTAAAAAAAAACAAACAAACAAAAAACAAGAGGGAATCCTCAATAGTTGCGGCACTTGAGATTCTTTTAGGCAGAATTAGAGTAAATTAATGACAGTTTTTTTTCGCTAAATTTATGTGCCAGAAATAACAAGCGTGGGGCGCGCGTATACCCGATTCGATTTTATTACTCATCAGGACCTTTACCAGCCTACCCTCAAATTGAAATTCTTTTAGGCAGGATTAGAGTGAATTTAATCTACGAGACCTTGGGCGTGGTCAAATGTATCAATCGAAAGGGTTTTACCTACCAAGTCCAAAACCGTAATTAGATCTCAAATCGGTCAGGAGATGACAGAGCTACGAGTTAAAAGTTTGTACTTGAAAAACAAAAGGAAATCCTCAATAGCCGCGGTTATAGTTAAATGGCAAATCGGTCAAGAGATGGAGCTACGAGTTAAAAGTTTGAATTTTAAAAAAACTCGGAGCTATGGTATGAGCTGCTATGCCGCGGCTAAAAAATTCATATGAAAGATACATTTAAACAAACTGCCTATTCTCACAAGTTCCAACAGATGTTATTTGAGCTAAAATATCCAAACCAAAATCGACCTACACTGGGTAACTATCTTATGACCAGTAAGTAATCGAAATACTTAGTAAATGTTCTTGTTTTAGCTAATATTCGTTTCTTTTCAACCATTTTTGACCAAGCATTTTTAGGGGGAATCTTATTTTTCAACACAATTGAAGTTGCTTATATGTAAAAGGAATAAATATCAGACGTGTCTTTTACTCGTAAACAATACATAAAAAACTAAAATGTCACTTACCGGTTCGTGGGTAAGATCGCTCCCTTCCTCAAAGCTTCTCGATGGGCAAGTTTTCCAAACTGATGTAGACTAACCGCCCGTTTGCCATTAACGATTGTACTGACGTCACTGTCGTCATTCTCATAAGCAGGATTGTCTATCCCTTCAGTGCTGGTTCCTGGTACAGCAGCATCTAATGGTTGACTAATCGGCTGCAATTCCAAGGAGGTTTCCTTAACTTTGGTATAAGCGCTGTCCTGAACCACAAAGTATCGGTACGGGGTATCATAATCGACCTCAAGTATGGTGGAGAACTTGTTAGGAAACACAGTGTCTACGATAACAACTGTTGCTCCTACCAAAACTGTAATGATACCTGAAACAAAAGGAGAATTAAGAAATAGTTAACACTATGTACTATATTTATTTTTCACTAATACCGATTTTTTAAAGCTTTAACTTTCAAATGGCAGTTAAAAGGTCTTGTTGTTGAAGACTTAAGCAATAAGGCGATTTGAAATCAAGTCACAAAATAGGTTTTCGTAGCAAAATAAGTTAGTTCATCTTTTTACTTTTTACTTATGTAGGGCCATTTTTCATATATGAAAATTAAAAAAAAACTCGTATTTATTAGGCAAAATATGCATAAAGGATATAAAACTTATTTCTTGCGGGAAAAAAAAATCGACAAATACCAAAGCTAGGTACGAGAGAAGGTAACGTGCAACAGACAACATTGGGAACCGACTGACCCAATTTCTATGGCTAATAAGTAACCGAGAAAAAGTGTCAAGGCCCTTACTGGAGCAGTAGATATACGGTACCAGTCGTTGTTTCTTACATTATTTCAGTTGTGATCAGAGCGTTAACCTTCGAACGGAGTGGAAATTCCAGTTTGGAGGTTACACTTGCTCATACCTTGTATACATAGCATACTTGTTATGGTAACTCAGCTACTAGAATGTTAAATGTTAGATTTTACCGCGCACGTGGTTATCAGACAAGGCCATACAAAGTTACACGAGTAAGTTACCAAGTAAAGAAAAAGTTCTGGTCTAGTTATTGTTATACATTTGCAACAATATAAATTCCTCAATAGTACGATTGTTACGTCAACATCAACAGCAGAGTTAACGTTGTAACAGATAAAAATCAGGTAAAATTAAGAACAAAACCGAAATTTCTACCTGAAGGTCACTATTGTACGGAACCACACTCGACCTTGTTCTTTTTGCCAGTCTACAGTTTCGAGACTGGTGGAGATAATATAACTAAGTTACCAAATTTTTTCTAACAACGACTTTTCTTTCCAATTACTTTTTGGATTTGTGACCATCTATAATTTTATTCATTGCAGTATCAGATGATTTTATCAAAAGAATCTTTACAATGTGCTTAGAGATCCTTAATGAATGAAGTGCAGATTCATTAGCTAGATGTTAATTTTTTTAAACTACTAAACTAACTGTGTAATCTAGATTATATCAGTTGTTCTGTTGTTGTTTATATTGCTTGGTGACTCAAGGTTTCGTTATTACAACGCTGCTAAACACGCATGATCAAAATTGGTACAATAGACACTCAACACGCAATTATCATAAATTAACCCAGGAGCAGCTCAGTTGCCGTTTTCTGACTCGCAGATAAAACTGAGTTGGCATCAATCACAATAAAACGGTAATTTTCGTCATTCGCAGCTGAGCCATAGAACTTCAATGACGGAAATATCCGTCATCCGCAGCAATGGGAATGTTGAAATAACCAATTATTCACTGTAAAGAAATTATGTCGGACAATAACACTACTTTTTAACGTGTACTTCAAGATGTCAATATTAAAAGTACTTACTATTCACAAATTCAAACTAATTCAATTATGTATTTGCAGTATTAAGAAAACATCAATAGTTCTCTTATAGCCCATTTTTTTGTAATGGTCTCCCTCTCTGTCTGTAAGAAAACATCAATAGTTCTCTTGTAGCCCATTTTTCTTTTTATAATGGTCTCCCTCTCTGTCTGCAAGAAAACATCAATAGTTCTCTTGTAGCCCATTTTTTTGTAATGGTCTCCCTCTCTGTCTGTAAGAAAACATCAATAGTTCTCTTGTAGCCCATTTTTTTGTAATGGTCTCCCTCTCTGTCTGTAAGAAAACATCAATAGTTCTCTTGGAGCCCATTTTTTTTATATAATGGTCTCCCTCTCTGTCTGCAAGAAAACATCAATAGTTCTCTTATAGCCCATTTTTTGTAATGGTCTCCCTCTCTGTCTGCAAGAAAACATCAATAGTTCTCTTATAGCCCATATTTTGTAATGGTCTCCCTCTCTGTCTGTCCGTGCCCGAGAGAGATATATATTAACTTGTACCTTCGAATGAGATTCCCTCTTCTTCTTGGATCACATTATAATATTACCAGTTTACTTTAATCCTACTAGAATCACTTGCATTTTTTGTTTCAGGCATTTTCCATAACATGTACAGATGGAGGTTTCTGGGTCACTGTCATGCTTAGAGGAGTTCCCCCCCCTCACTGTGAGAACACCACTGAACTTCCGAAGTTTAAGCCAGTGACCCACAAATACTAAGGGGGATTTTCTGCTCAGTGAAATCATTATGTCATTGATCCTCAAAATATCTAACCTATTAGACCACTATTCCTTCATCTCCCTTAGTTGCTTATTTATTAATATAACTAGTTCAAAATGATAGTTTTCTTGATGTATAAACACACACACACACACACACACACAACTGCTAAATAGCATTTAATTATCATTCGAAAGCGATCCAACTTTTTTTTTTGGCTTACACAAGTTATGAAATTAAGTATCACAATAATTTACAAAATTACAATCCATGAAAACAAAAGACAATAGAATTAAAATTCACACTCACCACCTATAGAGTGGACCATGATGGCCAAAATATATATCAGAGGTTCAAATCCTAGTCCATTAAACTTTTTCTTGATATTATCCTATCTACAAGGCATTTAAAAGATCACGCACACGGTCTCAAAGAGCCATACTTTGGAAAAGCAAATCTTCACTTATTTAGCGTAACCAGAAGAGGTTTTGAGTATGGAAATTTTAATGGCTGGATTTGAGATTGGCCAAATCTGTTGACTGGGCAGATGTTTGGATGTTTTAGCTAATTCGTATCGCGTTTCGAATATCATATATCCTTGTTAAAGAAGAAAGGAATATATAAAAATGTTTTCTTTAAAAAAAAATTCACAAAACTGATCGAATCTAAACTAAGGTTGTTATTTAAAATTTATTATTTAGATAAAGAATATTACGAAAAAAGTTAATATCCAAGAAATTTTACGGTTTGTTATTGAGAAAATTAAGAAACTGAGGGTTGAATAAGTATTGTTATGCATTTATATTTAAGAGGCATTACACAAAATTTTCGAATCACACAGTGTAAGTGTGTCCAAAATGTTATTATTCACAAAAATTGTATTAAGAAGTAAACACTTGCATAGTTTTTAAATTAACCAACAACAGTACATTAGCACCGAGTGATCTACACGGTGCAAGCCTCGTTCCTCATCTATCCATTCGTTAGACACTTGAAATATAATGAAATTACACAACAACTACTGATGTGACTGGTTGCACTTTTAAAAGGTAACTTAGAGAATGTTAAAATATTATAAGAATAAAAAAAAATCGGACATGCAAGTAGAAGTCCAAATGTGCATTTCAAAAATGTCAATGTCACATTTTGTTTTACGAATACACAGCAGTAGTGTAGATTCTTTGAGAACACGTTTATATTAATTTATAGGGAAAATTGTTCGAGGCTTCTTGGCTTTAGACTTAATTTGAAATTCACTCCCCCTCCTCCATGAAAATGCAAAATTCACCCCTACACATAACACCTATAGCCATATAAAACTCCTTTAATGTAAGACCGTAGACAACCAGCATCTTCGGGGGTGGGGAACTTTGGCCCTTCTCAATTCAGAGTGAGGAATTAAAAATACTATTCACGTGTTGTGGTTAATGAAGATCACCACGTATATTTCTGCGAACCTCAATGATTGTTTGTTTGTAATTAAGCACAAAGTTACACAATGAGCTATCTGTGATCTGCCCACAACGGGTATCGAAACCCGGATTCTAGCGTCGTAAGTCCGCAGACATACCGCTGTGCCACTGAGGTGCGAGCCTCAATGAAATGAGAATTCAAGTTTGTTTTAGATCTTTACACAAAACTACACAAGTGCTGCCTGCGCAGCTAGTCATTATTTAGAACTGGTGGACTAGAAGGAGGGCAGCTGATTAATAGCATCTATCTAAAACTACTCTTTTTGATAGAGTAGCGATACTTGACGGTTACTTTTAATCCAGTCACGACCTCTATTCATTTATTTTTATTCACCGCGTTAACTCAGAATCAATGCTATCTAGTAAATCCATAAAATAATTGGATCTCGGCTCCGGCGGCTCTTGCTGTCGCGGAAGCGAGATGTTGTCATACAGGTCTCCGATATCTTAAGGGAAAACTGACGTATAGATGGCGGAAATAATTCACGTACTGTATGGCAACGTATAGCAGAATGTCAATGGACAACATTATCACAAAAATGTACGATTCAACACCTCGCGCGGGAATTTTAAAAGTAAGAATTAAAAATGTGTACCTGACCCTCTCAGGTCGTCAAAAAGACTTAAATCCCGATGATTGATCCAGAGCGACCAGCTTGAACTCTGGATACATCCCGGTTTCTTGGAAGCAAGCGATTGTATTAATGTTCCGTAAAGAAGGAAAACCAGCAAATAAACCAAAAGCCCGATCAGTCTGATCAGCTGTGTAGGGAAAATTCTGGAAAAAAAAAAATTGGAAACAGACTCAAGTCATCTAGAAGTAACCTCAAACTTACCGGAAATCCAAAATGGATTTAGAAAATATAGACAAACAACTGATCACTTGGTCAGATTAACACAAACCATTATTGATAGCTTCAACAAAAACGCATGCTTTCTCGATATCGTGAAATAACTCTATACTGTCTGGCACGACGGTCTTAGGTTCCGAATAATAGAAATGGACCTACCGCGCGTAATTATTCGTTAGTTATATAACTTTTTGGAAAACAGGAGATGTAAAATAAATGTTAGTGGAACCTACTCGGAGTAATTTACTCCAGAGGTAGGCGTCCCCCAA